AAAATTGAGAAAGACAGTATATTACATGGTTGGTCAAACACAAGAACAGTTTTAAATGAGCTCTTTTTGAAAAAGTACTGAATAAGACAGCAGCTTTTCAACACCTTTAGGGCACGAGTACACCCTGCTGTCAGGGTCTAGTTCATAGGCATCTCGAGGATTTCTTAGACATATGAGGCTATCAAAAGCGACATAAAACTGATAACGAAACAACATCAAGCTAATTCAACTGGATTAGAATATTGAAAGTGAATAGCATAAACTCACACAAATGTAAGTTTAATATATTAGAATTGCACCTTACATGCCTACAAATCACATTCAAAAATACAAAAAAGTATTTGTATAACTACTATTCCGATGCACTATTTTGATGCTTTTAGTGCAAAATTATAGACTCCGGACTTTTTTACCTGTGCCCGCGTCCCGCTTACAAAAATGCGATTGTGATCGTGACGTCGTAGGCGTCCCAGGTAAGATAAATTATTTCTATTGTCCCTRTTCAAATTAACATTTCCTTCACAATTTGCATTTAGATTCAAGGAAATACGGAGAACTTTCAGGACGACTGTGGTGGTTCTCTGGCCTGGCTTAATGGTAAAGTATATTACACAGCGTTTCTTGAGGGATGGGCGTTATATGCCGAGAACCCTTTGATCGCTGAGGATACGGACACCTATGAAAATGATCCGATGCAGAGATATGGCATGTTGAAGTGGCAGGTATGGATATACTCAAACATGTCATGCGGTTAACTCGGGAATATGAAGAGTTTTAATTTAAACCAGAACCACTACGTGGGACTTACCGCGTGCCCAGTTCAATTAAAAGGATATGGCGTAAATACAGTCATCCCCGTATCGATATGTACTATATGATAAGATTTTGTGACTTTCAAGATTTTTCGATTTTTTTTGTCTTAAGTTTACAATTCTGTTGGAGGCATAGTAAATGGAATAGTTGAAGGTCCTATAACGTCTTGTATAACGTAGCAATACCAGTAATGCACACACAGTATGTAAATCACAAGAATAACTTTATTACCACGATCATATCTATGTATACACTCCTTACTATATCATATTACATTATGCCAGTCACGTTCCATGTTGCCATGGTTATAATACAATGGATACTTAAATTCTCTTTTGTCGTATATATTGTTTGTTTATACGTCGAGTGTAATATTTAATTTCGTTCAATTCGGATACCTATAATGCTTGTCATTTTGCTAAGATTAAAGTTCTTTAATAATAATAATAATAATAATAATAATAATAATAATAATAATAATAATAATAATAATAATAAGAATAATAATAATAATAATAATAATAATAATAATAATAATAATAATAATATATAGTTCATCGTTTTTCTTGTGTTTTTTTCCTTGGATTTTTCTAAATTTGTGTAAATAGCTTTTTATCCTTTCACAAATTTGTAAATAGGATTTATTACGAATTGCAATAAATTATTATTTGGCTTCAAATAATAATAATAATAATAATAATGATAATAATAATAATAATAATAATAATGGAAACTTTATTTGTTTATAGATTCATACAGTTGAAAATCTCACTACGTATAGGCAATTTACAACTGGCTACTTGAATATGATAAAAATATATATATATATGAATTTACAAATACTGAAATCAAACTAAAATACACAAACAGTTAAAAAAAATGTTAGTATTTCAATATAATTCAGGGCTATCCCATGTCTCATTTCTACAGCAAAAAATATAGCAGGTTGATCTAATAGCGGAGATTGATCATTATGTCCAGAAAGGTGGAGCATTCATTTTAAAAAATGCCCAGAGAACTCATAGAGAGGTTAATAAATTTAACTCGCTTATAATTGCTGCTCAGCTCGTTAATCAAGATCTTGTATTTTTCCTTTTTCCGTGTTGCGTTTTTGAAAAGGTTAGACTCAAAACCAACTGTTAATTCTAGGACATACAAACATTTGGAGTGTATAAGCAAAAGAAGATCAGGTCGGAACGTGTCGCCAGTTATAATTGAAGGACTCCGGAAACCATKTACGTCAGCATAGAGTGAMGAGCGATCATTTATTTCAGGTTTAAGCGATGTGGAAATGAAGTTGAGAATTGAGTCWTGTTTCCAGGTAAAGCGTTCAAGGTAGTGCTGGCAACCAGCGACAACGTGGAGAAGTGATTCAGGATTAAGGCAGAAAGAGCAGTCAGGACTTTGTGACGATCCCCAATTAAATAGGTTTTTTCGTGTAGCAAGGGTGTTGTTTATATAGCGAATGGTAAAATTATAAATGTTCTTAGGCAGCTTAGACTGKACAGATGACCAAATAGAGTTAACAGAAGATAACGAAAACTTTGTGACATTCGCAAAGAAGTGACCCTGAGATGTTAGGTGATGTAGCAGTTTATCTTCATGATAAGAACGGAAACCTTTAATAACTTCTTTTGTRGATTTGCATACATCATATTGAATGTTAGTGTTGCAGCTCGACGACTTCCAGAGATCTTGAATGGAGTYATTAGTCACACACGGAAAAGGATCTCTCGCCAAAAGTAATTGTTCTTGATTTTGGCACCATAAGAAGATGTTTACTATTAGATCTCAGATTTCGTTTGTTCTTGTATGGCTGTAGCAGATCAGTGATGTAGGATGGCGMAARACCATTCAATGSCTTATATGTTAGTAATAAGATCTTAAACTTAATGCGGTTTTGAATAGCTAGCCAATGTAGATCTCTTAATATGTTCCTTTATGCTTGTACAAGTAACGTCCTATTCTTGGTCCTGAGACATTTGAGAATAGTTGAGGTGCTGTTGAGGTGACGTTTTTGACACCATTTTGTTTGGGTAGGCAAAGTCCCGCAAATTAATAAGGATACACTGTGAAATCGATATCAAATAATTCCAGTTGAATTCCTATACTGAAAGAATACAAAGCGCAATCAATAACTTTGAATTATGAAGAATTAAATGTCGTAATAGCTCGTCACGAACTGTAATAATCAGAATAATTACGATACTAAACAATTGATATATATGTTGYGAATAACTTTCAGCTAATTTACGTGGATAATAACGCTATAAATGCGATGAATCATACCCCTTTCTTGGCTCAATGGTACTCGTGCAAACTGACTAAMATGTGCTTAGATATTATATTACAACTAGAGAAAACGTGACTTGACACTTATGCAATGTGTAACACAACGAAACGTGTGTATCGATGACATACATTAACATGGCTCCTCTAAATTGTAATTACAATTTAACAATCAACTAACATATCAACAACTAAACAATCAACTAGCTAATAATCAAAGTTTTGTTGTTGTTTTTGTTTACGGTTTTACAGTTCATGTTGCTGACTTGCTTGTGTTATGGCTCCTCGATGGGGATTCCCCGGTCTTTCCTTTACTCGTCGGCACTGTACAACAGCACCAGTTTGTGGATTGGTCTTTCCAGAACGGTTAGCCTCTTTGTTCTTTTTCCCTTGAGGTCTGCCGATGAATCCGCGATTGCTACCATTACCGTCCGAACTCAACCGTCATCACTGTGGTTGCTTTCTGTGACGCGTGCTAGCTGCTACWTATTCCTTGGCTGCCCTTCTTCTTTCACGATGACGATATCGTCAGTCTGTAGGTTTTCTTAGTTGTAGTCCATTTGGGTGGTCTGTATTGAAGGGACTGGAGAAACGTTTTTCTCCACTGCAATCAAAACTCGTTCGCCAGGTACTGAACGCGGCGCCAGCGCTTTCGCGAGTAAAGATCTGGTCGTTGGACGTYTACGGGTGGGGTGAGTACAACTTTGCTTTTCATTGTGAGGAGTTGGTTTGGACAAAGTGGTGAAGATGTTGCTGTGGAGCTCGTGATCTCTGTGGTCAGCGGGCGGCTGTTGACTATTGCTTCAGCTTCCACCATAAGGGTCCTTAAAGACTCGTCGTCCAACTGCGCCTTGACAGTCGAGAARTACGCTCAGGACGTTCCTTGTGGATCTGATTTGACGTTCCCATACGCCGCCCATGTGGCTTGCGTGTGGAACATTCGTTTTAAAGTCCACCCAATCACAGTTATCCTTTAGAAGTGTATCGCTGATCCTCTTGTTGTTTATCTCCGTTAGTGCCTTTCAAAGTTCGTTACTTGCTCCTACAAAGTTTGTCCCTCGGTCGCAACATAGGTGTCGTACTGGGCCCCGGCGTCCGACGAAGCGGCGGTGCGCGTTTATAAATGAGTCGGTCTCCATAGAGCTTTCCACTTCGAGGTGTACGGCCCTCGAAGCCACACAGGTAAATATCACTCCGTATCTCTTTAATTCTCGGCTCACTTCTTTTATCAGGAAGGGGTCGAAACAGTCGACCCCAGAGTAAGTAAACCGGGAGGGGCTGGTTGCAGCCGAACCTTTGGCAGGTCTGCCATCTTCTGGGTCTGTGTAGTGCGTCGAAGCTTACGGCACTTGACACATGTTGCGATGTGATTTGTGACGACAGACTGTCCACCGACTATCCAGTAACCAGATATTCGTAGTTCATGCTGCGTGATTCCTCGTCCTTGGTGGTGTACTTTTTCGTRGTGGTGGCAGAGGATCAAGCTTGTCACGTGGCTTTTCCTTGGCAAGATCAGTGGATGCCTTTCATAATAACGGAGATTTGCCAGTTTCAGTCGGACTCCCACTCTAAGTAGACCGTCTTGGTCCAGGAAAGGATCCGGACGATGGATCGGACTTGTGTTCAGGTGATCCCTTTGCGTGGTATCGGGTTTTCCGTTTTCTTTGCTCTGTGTTTCGGTGGAGCGTAGAACTGAGATTTCGCTCTTGAAATGCTGCTCTTGGAGGTCTATAATTACAAGGTGTTGAGCTCGTTTAAGTTCGTTAACGTCTAGRGGCTTGATTGTCGTAGCGGAGTAAGCATCAGCGGGTTTCTGATCGTTGGACGATCCTTTAAATCTTTTCTGCAGGCGGAGRAACCAACCTACAGACCTCTTAGCGCAATGCCAGATAGAGAAGTACTGTAGCCTTTCAAGAAGACCTGGCGGCTTCTCTTCTACCCTTGTCTTGAGGCATGTTGCTTTCTTCACTTCTGGATCGTCAGCAGCGACAGCAGAGGTTTCCTTCAGAGGCTCAATTACTCCGGGCTTCCATAGGAACTCTGGACCATTCCACCAATTATGACAGTTGATAAGCTCCYTGGCAGTCAGACCCCTCGAAGCATGGTCAGCTGGGTTCTCCTCTAGTCTCGACGTAATGCCACTGTTCTGGCGTAGTCTCGTCTCGTATCTGTTGGACTCGGTYCGCCACGAAGACGTGAAATCGCCTTGAGTTGTTATAGATGTAGCCGAGAACAACTCTGCTGTCAGGCCAGAACAACTCAGCAAGTTGAAGATCGCTGAACTCCTTTCTGATCGTGTGGCTCACTCTTGTGGACACCAACGCAGCGGTGAGCTCGAGAAGTGGAATAGTAATAGGCTTTCTTGGRGTCACACGAGACTTTGACATCACGAGGGAGCAGTAGACCTTTTCTTGCACGACGACGAGCCTATGGTAGGCACACTGGCCGTAACCGTCGTTGCTGGCATCTGAGAAGTAGTGCATCTCTGCGGTCTTGACGGCATCGAAGTCGTCTGRCTTGTAACATCTATTGATCTTTAGCTTGGCTAGGGCGGGGAGCTCTGACCACCATTTTTCCCACTTTGGCCTCAATTCATCAGGGACCCTTTCGTCCCATCCCACTCGGTCCTGGCATAGTCGCTGCAGAATTCTTTTTCCAAGAAGGATTACTGGAGAGACCATACCAAGTGGATCAAAGATGGAGCTAACTGTGGCAAGAATACCCCTTCTTGTGAGCGGACGATCTTTGAGTGTGATCCGAGACAGAAACGTATCAGACGCACCATTGTACGCCGAGGACTTGCTCGATGGTTACCGTTTCTTTGTTGATGTCAAGGTTCTTTACGTCCAGTGCTCGTTCGTTGGGAGGTAATGCTTCCATCACTTCCTTTGAGTTGGACGAAAACTTGTGGAGGGTGAATCCACCTTTGCTACAAAGGGCCTTTGTGTTCTTGATAAGGTCGATAGCTCCTTTACTTGTAGGCACGGATATTAAGCCATCGTCCACGTAGAAGTTGTCTCTGATGAAGTTGGCAGCTTGGTTGCCGAATTCRCCTTCGTAGGTGTCGGCGGATTTCTTCAATGCGAAGTTGGCACAGCTAGGTAATGAGACGGCGCCAAACAAATGTACCCTCATTCTGTACGCCACCGGTTCGTCTTCGATCTCACCATTCTCCCACMATAAGAATCGGAGGACGTCTTTGTACTCAGGGTTGACGATAACTTGATGGAACATCTTCGCAATGTCGCACATCAAGGCGATCCGTTCCTGTCAGAACCTGATCAATACCCCTACAAGGCTGTTGGGCATTTCCGGGACTTGAAGCAGTTGCTTGTTGAGCGACTCGCCTTTGTACGTGGCGCTACAATCAAATAAGACTCTGATCTTTCGCTTCTTTGGGTGGTAGACTGCATGGTGGGGATGTACCACACTCTGTTGTCGGACGGGTAAGCTTCATCTGACACCCTTTCCTGTAATCGTCGCGATACCGTGCGTCACYCCCGAATCTTCTCTTCAGCTGTATTAGTCGCCTTTTAGCCATCTCCTTGTTATTCTCCAGATGGATATTTTTGTTTTTGAAAGGTAGTRGCRACTCAAAATTACCGTCATCTARTTGGTGGACACCTTCCTCAGCGATCTGGAGGAATCGCCTGTCATCGTAAGAGAGTGATCTTCCTTTCTCTGTCACTGAAGTCATCTCTAACATCTTTAAGACTTGTCGAGGATTGAGGATCTCCTTGGTTTGTAGCGTCACGGCAAAGTGGCATATCTTCTCTTCTTGGGTAGTTTGAACTCGCTTAGTAATGACCGACGTGGCGTTGACTTGGTCATCATCGATGTCGAGTGCGTTGTTGTTCACTACTCCGATTACACCCCATCCAAGTGCCGTCCTCTTTGCGTAGGGGTCATTGTCGTTTCCTGGGATGATTTCACGTGCCTTGATCGCTGCGAAGTTGAGCCCTTTTAGGATTCCGATTTCTACGTCGTTTCTGTAAGGCATCAGACGATTCGCGATTCTTCTAAGGTGAGGCCATTTCATTGCATGTTTTCTTCTTTCTACAGTGTCTGCTTTTGTGTCCATATTCTAGCCAACCCCAACATAAGCCTTTAGCGCGCAAATTCCTTCTTTTTTTCCAATGTCAATTCGTTGAACTTCCTGCACGTGTCGAGATCATGTATTTTGCTACCTTCGCAGAGATGACAGGTGTGCTGTTTGACWTCCTTCGTTTGTTGATCGCTAACGTTCTTAGCGCYTGTTGCGAAGCTGCTAAGAACAGGAGCCTTCCTTTTTGGTGCGTAGGTGGTTGTCTTGATCCTTTCGTGTGTCTGATCGTCCTTGAGATGTCTTAATGATGTTATAGGATTACATGCTATTCTTGCTTCGGTGCATATAAATTTACAAAATTCTTTGAATGGAGGGTAGCCGGCGTGGACCTGGCCGTCACCGATGTGGTCTTCCGCTGTTAGCCACTGATCGACGGTACGACTCCATCGAGTCACTAGGAAGTTAGGTAGTTTCCTCAACATCCTTTGGTTCTCTTCGGGATCGTCCAAGATGCKTAGGTATTTCAATTCGTCCATTGCCGCCTAACAGTGTTCTAGAAAGTCAGAGAACTTCCTGATACCTGGCCCGTCGTTGTTAGCGATTTTTAGCGACTCGTTGATATTYCTCCGGTAGGCGTCGGATATCAGGAACGCGTTTCCGAACCTCGTTTGTAGTAACGCCTTCGCCCTCAGATATTCTTGATCCGTATTCAGCGGCAACAGGCCCTCGATTGACTATTTTGCTTCGCCAGTGGTGTACCTGCCTAAGTAGTATAACCTCTCTGCTGGCAACGTCGTTCTGCCCTCGATTAAAGTCTCGAAGGACTTCATCCACAGTGGGAACCGAAGTAAGTCGCCGTTGAAAACGTGTGGCTCCGGTCTTGGCAAATTGTTTCTTTCCTGAAGAAACGATAAAAAATAAAAATAAAAAAGAATAGGATATGATAAAACGATAACTAATCGTATACAAAGCGCAATCAATAACTTGGAACTACTGAAGAATTAAATGTCGTAATAGCTCGTCATGAACTGTAATCAGAATAATTACGATACTAAACAATTGATATATGTGTTGCGAATGACTCAGCTAATTTAAGTGGATAATAACGATAAATCATACCTCGCGTGAAAAATATTCGAAAAGTATTCGCTCTTTATTGTCGACTGAAGATTCACTAAARATATTCCCTTTTCTCGATAGAAGGTTCGCTCAAAAGTAATCGCTCTTGATCCTAGAAGGTTATTYGCTCTTGATTCTCGATCTAGAAGATTCACTCGTACGTTTCCGCTCAAACTCAAAATATCCACTTGTATAAAGATGTCGCTCAGAATACCTCTCGTAAAGTTTGGGGGATTTTTTTAATGCCCAAAACAGCAAAAATGTTCAGTAGTCTCATCTCCTTGCAAGACCTCCATCATACCATGTGGTTTTATCTGTGTGAGCAAAGTTGTCCCAGTCRATGTCCCAGTCGTGGGGAAATCGCCGAGCGCTCGCGTAAAACGTGGCAAAAAAAATTGYGCTTGCATTTTATAATCGGGAGGTTTTTCATGCCCCAAATTGCAAAAATTTTCAGTAGTCTCATCTCCGTTGGACGACCGCCCTCATTTACCATGTAGTTTTATCAGTGGGAGCAAAGTTGTCTAATTCAATGTAAGTCGTGGAGAAATCGGCGAGCGCTCGTTAAAAACCTGACGTGGAAAAAAATTGTACCTGCATTTTATAACCGTRCCGGCCGAGGCCTGTGCACGGTAATAATCGTGGACCCAGAGCGAACAGATCCGACGACTTAACAAAACTAATGAGGAACATCTGTAGACCGTTTCCTGTATATTACCAAAACGTCGTAATAATTTATAATAATTGAGTTAAAGTAGGRGACAAAATTCAATTATCAGCAGGTAAAAGAGCATGGACCTATGTATAGTTRCGAAGCGTGGTCATATATAGGGACATCTTGCAACGTAGCTCGCAACAAGTTGATGTGATGTAACCTGTTACGGTCATTTCTTGGGCAGTTCCATTAGGTTAAATTATAGTCATAAAAAAATATTGATAYTGCATTTGTTTCTCACAAATTCATATTCTATTCTTTAGATCTGGCGAGCCATTCGTTTAATCGTCGACACTGGTCTGCACTACACTGGCATGACTCGGGCCCAGGCCTTCAAGCTATTTGATGAGAAAGCTTGGGACAATACCGACTTCACAGAAAAAGAAATCACTCGTTACCAAAGTGTCTATGGTCAAGCCACGGCCTATATGATAGGACAGATAGACATCAAGAGGAATAGAAAGTATGCCACGAATAATCTAAAGGAAAAATTTGATATAAAAGAGTTCCATTATCAGGTGCTGTCCCAGGGTTCTTCGCCGCTTGCCTATTTGTCTGATCACACGAAACGTTACGTGGCATGCAAAAAGGATCCMAGCAAGACAGGATGTGACGACATACTGAACCCACCCAAGATGGGAGACAAATCAGCAGCATTAAACGATGGTATTCAAGAACACATAACGCACTACGCTTAGTCGCACAAGTATTTGTATCGGTGAAAGTGATCAGTAGTATTTGTGCGTTTAGAGAGTGATAGTGTTTGTTCCATATCAATTAATCAGTATATATAGGTACCATGAGGATCTCGATTGGGGTAACCATCAACTATCATATGAGCAAAATTTTGGCAATCAACCGTAAAATCGCTRTGACGTGTTTTTTACAGTCAACCGTCAAAAAATTAACCTTCAAGGCAATCGACATGACGGATGAGATATTTTTCTCCAATATGAGGAGTTTTGGCTGTAATGCTCATCCTCCCTTAGCTGTTCGTCGAGTGCTTTAAGCCGTCMATTGTGTATATGTATGACATCAGTTAGTAATTAATGTCAAGTTAGTGTCGTATGATGTCATACTAGTATAATATTCACTAGCCTGAGTATCAGGCTCTCTCGAAGGGGATTGGGCCGCTCCTCCCCAATCCCCTTCGAGATTATTCACTTGTTGGGCACTTTAAATCCCAATGGGTTGAATGAACGATTTGTTTTCAGATAATTTTAATATCTTTTGTTCTAATTTTTAGCGCCTCTCTTGTTCTTTACTCTAACACATCTCTTACTTTAATTGTTTATTTCTCGTTACCATGCCTACCTAGCTCCTAGTGGTCTACTTTCTTTGCTCCACCCATTATATAAACTCACACTTAGCCTATAGTTCCATCTATTTACTCGGACGAAGAGTGATGTCCGAAACGTCAGGAAGTTGTTCACCTATTTTTTAAGGTGTTAAATTTATCTTTTTACACAACTGTTTCTTTAGAACCAACGAAGCAGCTCACACTAGTTTACTGCTAGTTACCGCCCTTCAAGACGSCGAAAAGAGATCTCRAAGAGGGGGTAGTCCAGGTCGTAAAAGTCATGTCAGTTTAGGGCTTAAAATAAAATTGTTGATTTAGTCAGGTAAAAACATATTGTTTTCTGTAGATTAAAAGCATTATGTATTCAAAGTTGTGATTTACTGATGCCAAAGCACCAAATAAATGGCTCATGTTTTGCGCCCAATAGAAAAATAGCTGAAATAGAGTTCAAGAGAATGGCTTTTTCAACATCAACAATCATTGCATTATCGGCATTATG